CTTCTCTAAATTAACTAATATACCACAAGTTTTCTCACAGGCATAAATTTTTCAATGATTCATTGAACAGCAAAAATCAAACCTGTAACACTTCCCCAACATAAAGACTCACTGTACTTCTCAAATTTGGGTCACTGTTATATCTTGTACACTTTCCTAGGCATTCTTAGGAAACTAATCTGTGTGATGATTTTGCATTTATTCTGGCTACCTTTTCCTTGTGCTGGGGAACATCATGGCTTTCTTCCAATTGTCTGGCACAGATGCTGTCTTCACACATGCTTTAAACTAGCCACATAGTAATCCCATAAGCAAATTATCTATGTTTTACTATCTTCCAGTTGTACCATCTATACCTGAAACCCTATCGTTTTTCAAAATTCTCACAGGATTTATTCCTTATTTTTCATACTCTTTTCCCTGGACACTATTTATAGCATGTGTTTCAATTCCACTGTTTGACACACTACTATTATCCCTTGCACATTTCTAAAATACTCCTTCCAGCACTTCCTCACTTCAGTTTTATATGGCCAACTAATATAGAATAATGTTTTTCTTAATCCTGCTTCAGAATTTATTAACAATTCTAACAGCCACATTAGGCTGCTGTTTTGTATTGTTTTGTATCCATTAAGATTTTTGTATTGTTTTGTATCCATTAAGATTTTTCACATTATTTTTTAATATTGTTACATGCCAGGTCTTATTTATCGTATACTTACACCTTTCATTTCTTGTACTTAATCTAAGACTTAACTGTTTTCTCTGTTGGATTTTATCATGTTTGTTACAACCCTTTCTCCAGCTTCAAAAGCTTTTAAAAACATGAGTCTGTCTTCAATACTGTTGATAAGCCTTCCTACCTCTGTGGTATATGTAAATTTGATGAGCAACCTGTCCACATCCTCTGCCACATTATTTGGGTTAAAGATCTATATAGCACAGGGCACAGGAGAGCACTCCTTAAAATTCAATGCATAACTCCCTGCACATTGACACAGATCAATTAATGCTTACTACAAGTGTTTCACCATCATTTGTTCCAACTACTGTAGCGAACTTAACCCCCTTATCAATAAGAAGGCTATCATTTTAAAAAAAAAGGTTGTTAAATGCTTTGCTGTTATTAAGCTTTAATTCTTGTAATCACTGCAATGATTCTCACATCTACGTTAATGTTTTATTCTAAAATGTTGCCAAATACTGATTTTTGCAGGCTTTCTAAAATTTCCCACATCCATACTTATCCCATTCTTGAAGTTGGAGATGTCTTTTAGCACATAACTTATTCTCCAATGTTTCTCACGCATTATAAATAATGGTTCTGAAATAATATTTGCAAGATCTTTCAGTACCTTAGTGTGTAATCAAACTGGTCTTAGAGACTTGAAATCATCTCTTTACTTATCATGGGTACAAATCCCTCCTTACATCATATTAGAAAAGACTGCAGCAGAGTTCACCTTCTCTTTATCACAATTAACATAAAATTACCTTCTTTAAACAACAGACCTCTATCTTTCTCAAGCATCATCTTCCTTCTAATATAGCCGAGGAAGCACTTTTTCTTATTTTCGTATCATTCACAAGCTATAGTTCATGTTGAGCTTTGGTCTTCCTAATATTTTTATTTGGAAGATATCTTCCTTTTTTTCCCCATGGTTGTTTGTCTTTCCTTAATGCCATGCATGCCTCCTTTACGTCCCAGCTCAGCAGATCTCCCGAAGCAATTATATCTGGCTTCTTTAAGCATCCTCAGTTTTACTCTCTCATGGGAACAGTTTACAGCTGTACCTTCACATATTTCAATTCTCATGATTCTTTCAGAATTTTTCACCAAGGGTCCTGTTCAAGTATTCCTTGTACTTTTGGATCCAGATATCCAAAGTCTGAAGTATATATCCAACTGTACCACCCTCTCTATTTTGAACTTCAAGATAACATGGTCACTTTTCCCTTTAATGTTCCTGACAATTATATATCATCAATCAATTCTTCCCTATCAATCAGGATTAAATCCAAGATACCATATCCTCTTTCTCTTTCCAGCAATGTTTCCCATACATTTGTTAGATATTCCATTTATGAAGTTATGACTTCTGGTTATACTAGATCATTAAAAACCCGCATTATCACTACAGTTCTATGAAAGTTTCATCAACTGCTCCAGAGAAGAACCATTCAGACTAACAACTAGTTAGCAGTCACTGCAGTATTACTTTTTTCCCTTCAAAGAGAACTTTCATTTTCAAAATCAAAGATTTTTCTGTGCAGAAATACGCATTATTTACATATAATTTCCCTCCCTCAATTTTAAGTCTATTTCTTTTGAACAAAATATATACATCAATTAGTTGTTATATATGAGTTTTAGCCCACTAATTCTTAAACCTATCAACTTATATTGCGTTTGATCTTTGTCTATGCATACGAAAATTTCAGAAGCCACTGGCATTCTGCTGTCTTAGTCTACATGTTACTGGCTCTCTTTCTTTGCAAGAGTCCCCTACCTTTCTTTTACGCAGACCCTAACACTGAAAGCTTCTGAGGACAACTTCTTAGCAACAGGGTGCCTGTAGACATTATGAAACCCATTACTTCCTAATGGCATCTGTGAGAATTAAGGGACTATTTATTATATTTATTACATAAACTTCACAAGATCATCACAATTCATAAATTATGGCATTCCCACCTAAAATCTTGTAAGATTCAGGCAGGAATGCCAAGATCTCTTTCAGATTTCAAGAAGAACACCAAAATAATCAAGCAGTCTTGTGGGATTTTGATCACTGTAAAAAAAATCATTTATATTATAGCACCCATAGCAAGGGCCAACTGCAGTAACCTCACTGAACATCAGCGACCCTTGAAAGAGTTTGGGGTTTTTTTGGACTCCTTTGTCACTCGTTATCTTGTCCCTAATATTTTCCACAGAGGATAACCATGATTTTTTGCCATTTCCCTCCACAGAAATTAACATCAATACATTCTATTGCTCTCCCTGCTACCTCTGGCCTGCACTTTTAATACAGTGGCCTGTATCAAACCTAGCTGTAGTAGTTTGGTGTTCAATTACAATGAGAGCTCCTACAGGTATGTCTCTTCATTGGCTATGTACAAATGTTCATATGAGCTAACTTATAACCGGAATAAAATAGTAAACAATCTAATTTACCACTTGCTGATGAATTGTTGCTATATGAAAAGGTTTTGCATGAATTTTTTTATCTTATATCGTATCACAATATTTAAGTATTTTAGTAGCTATTACAAAAAAGAAAATCCTTGAAAACTGTTGCTTCAATAATTCTACTTGTAAATGAACTGTCCTGTTTTACAAAATTAATGCATGTACATATAAATGTGTCTTGCACATCCCAACTTCCTTCTAGTGGAATTGCTATATACTGTACCTAATAAATAGTTAAAAACTATGTGGCAAATTTCAAGGACAAATGCCAAGTTTTCCATCAAAAGGAGAAATGGAAAAATATATATTGTTATACAACACCTAAATTTTGGCCTTCATGTGACAAATAAGTCTTCAGATACCCCTGTCCAACTGAAAACTATTTAATAACCAATTTCACAAAAAATTAAGTATAAAGGTTCAGCAAAATTGTTTTGAGCAATGTGAAAATGATTCAAACTAAATGGGTAATGTTAGCTATGAAGCACTATGACCCTTATGCTAAAAAAGCATTTATTGCCAAGATCTAAGGTGAATCATTTTTAGGATATTAACATTTTAACACTCTATTAAATAACAAAGAAGAGGCATTCAATTTCTAATTTTTTTCAACTATTACATAACAATGTAGCTCAGATTTGGCCACAGTCCCAAGCTCACGTATAAGGGAGTAAACTCCAATTGACACAACTGAACTTACTTCCAAGTAAACTTGCACTGGATTACATATTATACCTAACAGATTTAGTGCAGTATGTCTAAAAGCCCATGCCTACACTAAAATTATGCATTGTGTACAAAAATACTGTCTGCAAAAATACTGTCTGCAATCACTGGCTATTTTAATGCTTACCTAAATATTACATACTGTGTTAATGTTTAGCACATGCAAACTAAGTATTTGTTCACACTAGCATTCACCTACTTACCTCATTTGATTATCAAGGGAATATGTGCTTTACACTCTAGTGTATACCTAATGCTTACTTAAGAGGCATTAAGAAAAAATACTAACCTCCCATGTACGCGCACAGGTAGATAGGCAATATTAAATAAATTACCTACTGCTCCTCCGAGAAACCAAAAACCTTGCACACAACTGCTAAATAGCACTTGTGTGTAGACTATAATCACACTACCTTTCCATTTCTCTATCACATGTTGGCACAAGGGAAAGTATGGCAGTAATAAAAGTGCACCTGCTCCTGAAAACAACCACCATTTGCATTGATTGAGCGTGCAATTACAAGTCTCCTAATGCCTACATAAAACATTAATGACCGAGTGTGCACAAAGAGGAATTTTGGTTTTCATTCATAGCCAAGTATACTAGTGTGTACAAGAATGACTTCAGCTTAGTGTTATGTCCAAATTTCTTGTCATTTCCAAGCAATCCATAAAATGTAGGTAAACTTTAAACCCTGTCTTCAGATACAATACTGGCTTGTTAAGGTCAGCAACAAACAAGGAGATCTGGCTATGTTCCTAAAAAAAGTCATTGTCCAATAATAGAAACAGCAAGTTAGGAGCAATTAGCAGCCCTACTTGCTCATGGATAATAAGCCAGAACTCATCAGAGTTCCGACACCATTCTATCCAAATGCTATTCATTCTTGTAGACAATTATTTTTATTATAACCAAGAATATGTAGGTGTAATGGAGTGTGGGAAAGACCTTGGGAGACAGGAGAAAGACCCGTTGCTTAGGCTGTGGGTCTTCTTCCTGCCTCCCAAGGTCATTCCCACATACCATTACAGTAAGGGAAAGTGTGGTTCACCAAAAAGACACATATTAGCATCTTACCTTCACTACAGGATGTCCACCAGTAGATGCTTTTACTGCTCCTCTGCTGCCTTCCGTTTCATAATGTGCTCTGTGATGAGTTTTTGGTTGTACTTCTATTTTCAGTTCACACTGCCCATATTGTGTGGGCAAAGGCCAGTCTAGAGGCGGCAATGAAGATGTGCTAAAACCAAGAAGTGCATATATTTCAATATATATTAATATAATCCTTTTCTTTCCTCCCTTTTAATTTCCAAGTTTTTTTGGAGGTAACCCTATAAATATAGTAATATAATAAAAGTGTAAAACATTTTAAACAAAAAGAAAACAGAGTGTCTTTTCCACATTAAAAATGTTACTTTAATTTGTTTTTAAATAATTTAATTCAATTATAATTCAATTTTAATTATTTTATGTTAACAAATGTTAGACTAATTACCAGGAAGGAGAAAGCAGATCTGAAGGCCCAGGAAAAAAAAAAACAGAAAAAATTTCCATCAACTTTTTTTCTTTTTGCCCAGACTTTAACAGATCTCCTACGCATGGAGACACATCCTGTAAAACCCTATTATAAAAGTGTGACATATTTCATAAACTTCCACTATCTGCACACATGACACCAACTATATGACCTAACTCATCTCTTGCAAAAGCACAACTTTCCAAAAGCATTTAAGCCCTTTGCTGAGCATACCAAAGCGAGCTATGTATGGAATTTCTTTCACTCAGTTTTACTATTGCTCTACAAAAATGCAATATGAACTGTAGTATTGTCATTGTGGTTAAAACGTCTGGTAATGGAACATCTAGGTTATTACTAGCTACACAGGGATTCTTATTGCAGGAAAGATAAATATTAAAAATAAAAAAAAAGATTAGCTAACAAGGCAGGTTTTAAGAGTACTGTGATAACATGAGAGAATGCCTAACGCAACCTGAGTAAAGATGGCAGATAAACATTTCAAGTCCATTTTTAAAGAAACTGTTTAAACACAATGTGACATGAACAATGAGAGTTTGCATTCAAATTTTGATGGTTAGCAGGAACGATCGTTATTCAAGAACATTTCAGATCACAAGGACAATAAATACAGAGGAGCACTTCGCTGAGAAAACATCTGTATTATTCCAAAATATTTATTACTAGCTTGTAAGACTCCTGTTTCTGAAGTAATGGAAAGACTACTCTAATGAATGTATAACCGTTCTTCCAGAGCATAAGCAGACACTGGCTATCAATAATCTACTGAATCTGTACAAGATCGACTTTTCCCTCAATAGATCCTAGACTGCTGCAGCTCGCTTTCATAGTTGTCTGGTTTATTTAAACTTATCTTCTAAAATTAAGTGCTGTCCTCCTTAACACAATCACCAGAGAGTTTTTCCAGGTTAAAAGCAGAATTACTAACCGATTTCTTACCAAATCAGGGGACTAGTCTATCATTCACCCTTTTCAAACCTGCAGAAGATGGAAAATCAAGGAGGTATTCAAATATATCTTTAAAAAAGGGGGAGATATTCATCTGGGCTGCTGGGGCATGAAATATGAAAGATGATCCATGGTCTGCTTTATAAACTAGTGAAAAAAGAGCACTACCACAGAAATAGTAGCTGAATTAATAATAGTAATACATAATATTCACTACTGTTTCTTCCTGTGAATCATCAGCAGAAAGGAGACTGGAACATACAAAAGGTCAAAGAAGTCAATAAAAACTAAACTTACAAATAAATAGAAGTGACAGAACAGAGGTACAAAGTAGATTTGCAAATAAGCATGATGTAACCAAGTTCTTTTCACAGGGAAGACCCTGTCTATATTATAACCATTAGGTATAGCGTCCATGTGGCTTTATTGTTAATAGTTCTTGTGCTCAAGATTAAGAGAAATCTGTACTGATGGGCTTCTATACTATTGAAAAACTGATAATTAAACTGAAACTGATATATTAAGTTATGCAAAACAAACAAAACTTCCATTAGATTACTCAACTGATTCTTTTAGATGTCTAGCTAATGGATTGTACAAATACTCTGATTCATTTCACCCAATCAAAGATACATAGGTCCAAAAGCAACATTAGCATAGCATTTAAATTAAAATTAATCAGTAAATCCAGCATTTGAAAGAAGGATCTGATTTTGCCAAGTAAAAACATTAAGTTACATACACCTGCACATCACTGTACAATTTTGCTGTGACAGATTTAACTTCAGTTAGTTATGGTTAGTACTGAAACAAGCTATTTGCAACTCTCTACGCTCTGGCTGGCCGAAAGCACAGCAGGGTACTGAAAAACAATTGCAGAGAGCCTGCTGTGCTTCAACAAAGTATCCTTGGGGGGGGGGGGGGGGGGGGGGAATAGTCAGCCACTAAACTTTTCCCACTCAAAGTTTCTAATCTTGATCAACTGGGTTTTTTGCTTCAAGCCATGCTATTGTCAACACTAAAGAAGCTTTCTTACGCTTGTTAAATCAGGGCTGTTTTGCCATAGTCTGCCAGCATTAAAAAAACAGCTGTTCTAAACAGCATCAGCTGCTCAAAACCAACAGTAAGCAGGATGCTTCATCCTGCTAAAGCTTTTCTGAAACTGAGCAATTTTAAAGAGTCAAATACTTGCCAGGTTATTTTTAATTGATACTGGACACTTTAGCCAAGTTATATTTTGAGGTTTCAAGAGCTGATCATAACTACCCATTCAGTATATTTTTAACTTGGTGCCACCCAACAAAGTCAGTGACCAAAGATGATAGAACCATGGTACAAAAAAGTCAGGAGAATTCAGCTGGGAAACATAGACAGGATAAAATATAAGAAACTCCTGATTCATAGGAATCTAGGAAAATGTAAGATATTGTGGCTTTAAAATCAGAAGCCAATGCTTAATGATTCAATGTTTATCTCAATTTTAGAACGTTAATGTGTTTGCCACTAATAAGGAACTGCATTTTAAAAAATACACATGGCAAATAAATATAGCTATGTACAAGTGTTTAACTTAATATATGTAAGCTTTAAAATGTTTATTTTTCTAACACATAATTAGGCACTTTAAAAGTCTTCAACTTATATGAACACTTATCCCTTAATCAACAAATATATTTGAAGGCTATGTTTACTCAGCATAGCCGACTAATTTATATACATTAATGCTGAATAATCTAGATATGAAGTTTTTGTTCAGGTTTCTTTCTGTAAACACAGCTACTGATAGCTTTCCATTGTAACCACACAGGGAATATTTGAATTGCTAACTCAAAATTTGGAGTACCGTTTAAAAGGCTTGTTTGAGAAGGAACTCTGCCTCACCTGAATGGGCTATAAATGAAACACCACTGGAAACTAGCTTCACCCTTCCTTTAACAGAAAGAATACATAGAAGAACTTTGTAGTTAGTGAGCAAGTTTGTTTTTTCCTGATTCCTCTAATCCTTTTTCTCTTCTGTTATGTTCTTTACACTGCAAACTTTTCTTCTATGAGTATCTTCTCATAGTCTTTTTTTTTAACTAAAGAGCAGTTAATTTTTTAAAAAACAATAAATAACAGTTAACTCCCTGCACTCTTCTGAAAAAAGGAGAACATCTGTTAGGTATCACTTGAGATACTCCCCTTTCTTTATCATGAACATCAGAAGGATGCTCTCTGGACAAATCACTCATGAACTTTCTATATTTAGGGAGGGAGGGAGGGAGGGAGGAGAAAAGAAAAAACTTTGACAAAATTACAGGGAGCCAGAAACCAGCCTTCTCAATAGACAGAGGAGTAACACACTAAGTTGATTAGTTTTCACTTTGGGGGGGGGGGGGCTTAGCCTATTGTGTGAACCTGGCCTTATGGTTATAGGTCTGTATTATGTGAAACTCCAAAACTGGGTTAATGGAGTAAACCAAGAATATGCTAACCATAGTTTGGTTATCAGCAAAGTCAGTGCATGTTTAACAGAATCCTAAGGGAGCATTATATATCCTCCAACATTCAGAACAAATACAAATAAAATGTCACATGTGCACAGACACTTCCAAGATTCCACCACCGGGTTCAAAGAGAATGCATGTAAGAAAGACACAACGTAGAGTCTGCATGCACTACTATTTTGAATGCAAAACCTATGGACACTTTCAAGTCTAAGGGTAACTGCTCAGTTCTATAGAATATTTTAGGCTGCAAATCCATCACTGTGTTTGAGAACAACTGAAACTGCTGATTTTCATCTCTAAACCCATCTAGTTTTGCACACCTTCTGTTAGAGATGAGGCAAGTGGTAGCTTCAGATAAGATTGCTTCTTTTGTAACAACTCAATTCTGGAATTCTCTCCACCATGTTAAGTCTTATACTTTCATTAAGATGAACTTACTTCCTCTTGTGATTTAACACAGCTCTCCCAAAATTGATGCCCTCTAGTTATTTTCTCTTTCCTACTTTTCCCCACAATGACCATTCAGTGAGGAAAGTTGTGCTGAGAAAGAGAGACATTACCCCAAAGCCACCCAGTGCCTTTCCACGGCCGAGGGTGGACTTGAACCTGGGTCTCTTTGCTCATAATCCAACACCTTTGCAATTAACCCCACACTGGGCCTGTGTTGAAACCACAACTGTTCAAAAATGTGGGCCAGAACATTTTCTGGGAACAAAATTTTCCAGAGAATAAGAACCATGGTTTGGTAATTTGCACATTCTCTTTAATTTCTGATGCCTTGCAAAAGGCCAAAGGGTTGAGACATCCAGATATCAGGAGGGATATTGTTCCACAGGCAGGCACTGCAACAGGCTTTTGTTCAAAGTGCTGTTTCTTACCTTTAAATTCTACATGGCATGGAACTGGAGTACGGTCCATCTTCCCCAACTGATTTCAACACCCAACTCACATTTCCCAGAAGAACCCACTCATGGCCAGAGACCTAAAGGAAACTGAACTAAGGGGAATGGAGGGCCACAGTTGTTTTTCTGTTGATGCTCTTGCACTCTGGAATGCACCCCAGAAAATTTAATCAGCTCCTAAACTAGCTTTCCATAAGCTATTGGAAACCAACTATTTCAGAGAGCCTTTGGACTGGATGTATGAAGTGACAATATTGGTTACTGGTTTAAGTTTTGGGTACTGTGGAGTTGTTTAGATTGGAGGGTTTTTTGGTACTTTTGCTTGATTTGTACCATGGATATTTTAATGTATTCTCTTATGGATGTACTGTAAACCACCATAAATCTTTTTTACTGCAGCAAGTAAAAGCCAATAAATATATAAATATATAAATATAGGTTCCAGTTACATTCCTGGTAAGATTCCTAGGTATGTTTTGGATACAGAACATATACAAGGATTATAAATCCACATATGCAAGATGAAGAATAAGGGACATTACAGAATGAAATGTACAGAATGTACAGCAAAGATTAATTTGGTCCAAAGAATTTAGGAGACAAAAAGGTTACCTGGAGTTGGAGGAAAGAAGTGGAAGGAAAAGCACAGAAAGATAAAGATCAGAAAGCACAGAAAGATAAAAAGGAAAACAATGGCAAATCATTTTCATATTGTTGCCAAGAAAATTTCATGTAGTCACCAGGAGTTAAGATCAACTCAAGAGAGGCTTTAATATCTCAAGGGTACAGATTCTCAGTCCCTAGTCTTCACAACTATGTAATCACCACAGCCTGAATTCAACTTCTCTGATCATGTACATCAGTGTTTCCTAACCTTGGCAACTTTAAGATGTGTGGACTGCGGAATTCTGGGAGCTGAAGTCCACACTTCTTAAAGTTGCTGAGGTTGGGAAACATGGCTGTACAGTAACAACAGTAAAATGGAGGAGAAAAGCAAGCAAAACAAGGGTAGTTAGGACAAGCATGAAACAAAAATAAGGAGCTATTTATGTGAACAGAAACTAGAGGAGGAAAAGACAAAAAAAGAAAAAAATCTATCTTGAAAAAAAACCAAAAAGAAAACCCCTCCAACAACATCTGTGAAGAGACCAATGCAAAGTTTCTGCACTATCCTTGCTTTTAATATTTCTTTTATACATGCAGCATTTAACAACCCCAATTACAGCAGTATGCAAGCTTGAAGCCCATCTGGTTAAATTGTATGTTTCAAGGAACCCCTGAGTAAAGTTTCCACAGCCTCTGTATGTACAGGTAAAACATGATATATTTTAGCAACTTTGAATGCATACTATTTATGTATAGTTGTTTACAGGTTCAAAATAAGAAATAGTCTCTATGGCACACAAAATATGGCACTTGTAAAAGTTTGGACACCCTTTCAGTCAGCACTTTGTAACACCTCCTTTCTCAGAAATAATAGTTTCCAAATATTTCCTGTAACCACCTAAGTACCCTTCTATTCTTGTTTTTCTTTTATTTTTTTCCCCACTCTTTCTTGCAGAAATGTTCTAGCCCAGAAATACTCTTAGGTCTATCTGCATGTTTGAGATCTCCCCAGAGACTTTCAATTACATTCAAGTTCAAGAACTGTGAAGGCCATTTTAAAACCTTATTCCTTTTAGGTACTTCAGTTTGAAGGTATGTTTCAGATACCAGATTCTTGCTGCAAAAACCAACCTCTTTTCACCTTCAATTTTTTCACTGACAGTGGGACACTGAAAGATTTTCCTTCTCTTAGCTATGGCCTAAATGGATCTTAATGTCTCTTTACAACTTTCTTGTAAATTATATTGAAAATTATTCCACTATTATGTTGATAACAGTATTTTTATTTTTAAGGCTGAATAACTTACCCATAGGAATTCCACAAAATTGTTCTGATGTTTATTTTTTTCCAACTTATTTTCTTACTTTCTGATGCATTTCTGAAGACTGTGTTTAAACACAGCATAAACATATAATCATTAAAAGAGACGCTGATCTGTTCCAAATATCCCTTCTTAATTATGTGCCCAATACTTGATACCAATGAAACAAGCAATTGAATAGAGGTAATAGGGTAAGAGTACGTTCACAGTATGTTTAGTGTAGGTCAACCATGTATCACTATATTAACACTAACATATTTTTAGTAATACAGTTTTATGCCACAAATGGTTGTGAAGATATGGAGGAATATATGAACGAATGGGGTTTTAAGTTCTGAAAGTGAGCAATAAAATTGTAAACCTCAATTTGTTCTATGAAACTGAGTTCCTAGATTAAAAAAAGAACAAGCAGCACTGGAAATGCTTTCTGGCCTTCAGTATGACAACAGTATAACTCTAATTGCATCTTTTATTAAAATATAATACATTTAAAGGACGCGGTGGCGCAGTGGCTTAATGACGCTGAAAGTTGCCAGCCAGAAATGGTCGACACTTCAGCGGTTCGAGCCAAGCCCTGCACAGCAGAGTGAGCTCCTGCTTCCTCCCCAGCTCCTGTCAACCCAGCAGCTTGAAAACTCATGTGAGTAGATAAATGGGGACTCTCACCCCGGTAGGAGGAAAAAATGCTGGCGGCACCTTCCAAAAGGAGACGGGAGCAGTTGCCGGTAGCACAGAAGCTGCGCACGCCCGAAAAAGGCACGAAGCAACAGAAGCCCCGCCTCCTGCGC